ACTTGCATTACCTTTTACTCCAGAGGAGTGAGACACTTTAAAATAACTAGAATTAATAACATTAACATTAATTTTTAGAGTTCTGGGGCATTCCATGAAGAGCAGAATTTTAAAAAGCAGTTTAAAACAATTTTCAGATAGAATTTTCAGAATTATTTCTGTTCCATTTTTCCATTTTTATTATTATAAGGTAAATCATATTTGATAACAATGTGAAATTATACATTGCTAAAATATTAACTATGAAGGTAAAGGATACACTACTATATTTTGACACTTTTTAGCTACTTAGCATACTCACAATACATTTTCATAATGTTCAGTGCTAGAGAAATGTTGAAACTTCTAGAAAAAACAACACTGCTTGCACAATTCCTTTCTCTTACAGACACAGAAATGTCATGAACAATTTGAATGCAGTTCAATTCTGAGACTTTTGTCTGAATCAACTCTGCATTTCTCTCCAGGACAAAAATGCATGCATAAACTTGTAATTGACTTCTTAACCTGAAGGCAGAGAAAATATTTCAGCTCTGGAGCACAGCATAGAAAAAAGCCAGAGTATTACAATATACACTTTGCATCAAATCACAAGATTAAATTTTAACGTATAAACACATCTATATCTGATATGGATATTTTTATTAAAAATTATTGACTTACCTTAGAAATTGATTGATAAAACAGTATTCTATAGCTTTCTTATGGGTACTTTTTTGCCTCCAGATATTTTACAGACAGTGCACATAAAATACTTTATTTCTTTTGATTAAAGTCCCAAGTTAACTCTTTGTCTGATATCAATTATTTAATTCTATCTTGCAGCCTTGGCAGAGCTTAAAATTCAGGAGGATTAGTCCAGTTCTATATTGATGATGTTCCTCTCATCTCCTTTGATTTATAGAAAAGAATCTTTAATAAAGGAAAACCTGAAGCTACTGAATTAATAGATAAGTCAGCTATTCAATCAGTCTTGTTCCTTCATTTCAGAGACTGAAAATCTAATTTTTATGTCTCCAGGTAATTAATACAAAATTCAACTCCTTGTGGCATACAGTCCTTGCTTAAATTGCAACTAAGATGAGTTTAACCGTCTCATTCTCAGCAGAACAAAACCCTATCATATAGTAATCCCCTTCTCTTGCAGAGTCATTCAGGAGTTTCTACCAGAAGTATCAGACTAAGGTGACATTGTGGGGAAAGGAGTCAAAAGATAAAGATAGCTACACATCTAGATGTTTCTAAGTTGCAGAGATGCAACTATGTGTTGTCTCCTCCTTTTATCCCCATGGAATAAGGAAGAGGTGGAGGTGAGGGGAGTGCTGGGCAGTAGAGCACCTCTGACCTCTGGGCTCCTGAAATAGGCAGTGGCACCCCAGTAAGACTTGTCCACACAGTCACCAGTACCTGCTGTGCAATGATGTCAACTTCCACACACTCGCTTTTAATCTGTTCATGCCCAGACAGATATTTAGTGCACTATTTCATGACACAAAAAAAAAAAGCATAGAAAGTAGTTAAGGATACGCCTGTACTAGTACCTTCAATATGGACACCACCTGAGATACTTAATCACTTTGCCTGTTTCTGTGCATATTTCCATGGGCAGACAGCCTTGTTAATAATACACATCCTTGTTAATAATACACATGTCCAGTTCTGATCATCTGTTGTCACCACTGTTCACAACATAAACACAATATGCTTTAGCCATACAGTATGCACCTTCAGTGCATATGCACTCTTAGTGCCATCTTACTCCTATTTGGGGAGCATTTGGGAGGGAAATTTCCTAAAGACTGTGTGTATGCTGGGCATGCCTCATCCATGATCCACAGGAGCAGCTGCAGAGCAGTCCTATGGCAGATCCATGGCATTAACTAGTTTATTATGCACATGCATACTGACATTCGAGCAGGAGTGAGGTGAGGGTTGGTCTCTTTTCCCAGGTAGCAAGAAATGGGACTGCACAAAATGGCTTTAAGTTATAGCAGGGCAGGTTTAGATTAGATATTAAGAAAAAGCTTCTTCACTGAAAGGGTGGTCAGGCGTTAGAAGAGGCTGCCCACAGAAGTGGTGGAATCACCATCCCTGAAAGTGTTCAAAAGGCGTGTGAAGGTGTGACTTGGGGATACAGTTTAGTGATGCACATGACGGTGCTGGGTTCATGTTTGGACTTGATGATCTTGCAGCTCTTTTTCAACCTTAACGATCCTATGAGTTTGTGATTTGAGAGCTCAAAGTGTTTGACTTTCCATGATATCATTCCTTTAACATAGTCTACATGAAAGGATCATACAATCCAGTATTATTTCTCTGTGTAAATGGAAACAAAACAAGCCCAAATGCTACAGTAGTGTTTTTAACCCCATCTTTCACAGCAAATGTATTAACTCCAAGACTCAGCACTCCCAGGTGCTGAGAAAAAAATAAGTATTCCTTTTCTGAGGTTTTTCTCAATTTTTTGAGAAGATAGTTACATCTAAACACATATCACTTCAGAACATGAGATGGCATGATTCATATTCCTAATCAAGAAAGGATTAGGAATATGAATCATATTCCCAATAGACTGTAATTGGTATTAAATGTATCAATAAGCAATGAGTTCACATCATGACTCTGCTTGCCAGAAGGCTTGTATTCTCCATGATGAAGTACAATTTTTCCCATCAGGAAGTCAAAAGCTGGATCCACTCTGCATCAAAACATTTGAGGCCAGACATCTATTAACACATTTAGAGACATGGGCAAACATTTTCAATACACTGCAATAGCTGGCAGATAATTTATTCCTAGTATCTCTTCAAAGGTGGTGATATTGATAATAACTGAACTCAAGAATAAGCTAAGGAATAGCAGAGTACCCTCTTAAAGAAAAAAATTTTTTTAACACATACACAAGTAAAATGTACAAACATGAAATACTTTTTTAATGTTTTGTGCCAAAATTCATCTTAAGGCACTCTTATGGAATTCAACACACAACAATATACTTGGAACCAAAGAATATATCTATATCCTTTTAGATAAATAAATAGCAACATTGTATATAAAGCTTGCATTTGAGATTGAAATAAGGTCTTTTATATTATTTCAGCTTCAGAACTGGTCTACATATGTCACACTGTGCCAAATCTGTGCTTTGTTTTAAAACTTATTGTAGGTTATATGCTGATTTCTTTTAAGTAGTCATGATGATGATTATGATGGCAATGACGATGATGACAAAATATCAAGTCTTCCGCGTGTCCAATATTTGTTACTATATCAATTGTCTTGAAAAGTCATTGCTGAGTAGTAAGAAGATGTCTCTCTAGTTGTATCCAACTCCCCAGCCATAGCCTCCAAAGATGTTCAAGGTCAAATGTTTTTATCTGGCATGTTTTCAAACTTCTTTTCAAATGGTGTTGAAATGTTTCCTCCACAAAGGCCTACTGATTCCTGTGTTGTTAACTCAGAATTCAGATTTGTTGCTAAAATTTGGGTAATACACAATTTTAACAATTTTTGGTATACTGAAATGGATGCAATAAACATAAATCCACAATTCTGAAGGTCTTTTAAAGTGTCAGTCATTATAGAAAAAAGCACTTGATGAATACAATAGCATTTGAATATGTTCGCACTGCATCTCTAGGACAACATCTGGATGGAAAGGCCTTTAGTTAGAGTTTCATTACCTTCAAAGTTCATTATGGAGATGGATGATAGACTATATTGGTTAAATTATTTGCTATGATCCAGTGGTGGAAAGCATATGCTTTGGACTTCTGTGCTGGCAAAAAAAAAGAAGCAAAAGGGAGTGGTTGTGGCCACTTCATTTTGCTCCTAAAGAGTGAAGGGCAAAATAATGAAAATTTTACAGAGGGCTTTTAAAAATGCCCAGAATTTGCCCTCTTAGTGAGATGACCTTCAGAAAGTCCTCAAGTGGCAATTGTAGGATCATCATACAAGCCTAAGGAAAAAACACAGCTTCTACCATTCTGTTTCAGAGAGGCAAAGTGAAGACAACCTGGCGTACCCCAACAACAGATTAGGGCAGGTAGAATTTGGGAACTATATTGTAGATCATGAGGTTCTACCTGGGACTGTGAGAGCATAGAGGGGCCTGCTGCTGACACACATAGGATTGAAGAAGTAGGATTTGGAATGCAGTTGGAGTTTTCATGTGGTAGCACAAATCACATCAGATTTTATTTCTGATTTTCTAACAGAGGGATTTCCTTTCAATTCAAATCTATATGGATCAGCTATGGATCATCATATATGGATCATCCGTAGAGAATAAATAAACCCTCTACTTCATAGAGAGTAACATTTGAAATGTTTGCAATCCTGTTTTGCTGCTTTATGAGCAAAATGTTTCATAATCATGTATGTTTCCTGAAGGTAGCCAGGGCATTCAGTACCAAACCTCTACCTTATGAAGTCAGAAAATGGCTTGCTTTCTTTTTCTTTTTTTTTTCCCCTCTAAGGAATCCAACTCAAACTGAATTTGCCTGAAAGAATGAGTAGCTGGATCATCTTGCTCTGCCTTTGTCTGCTAATGCTACCCGTAAGCCTAGAATAGCTAAAATTTGCAACCTCTTGAAGATACTTTTGTCCTGGCCATGTGTTGGAGAACTAGACAATGCAGCCATGTCTGCATGCCATGTCTGCCTCACAGAATAAACTCTGCTAGTTCCAGCTTTGATCTCCACATCACTCTGCCAGTCTTCCCCCAACAATGCAGAGACAGGAGCAGTTTATTTGACTCAGTAACTGGTTCCTGTTGCTAGAACTAAATGACCAAAGTGAAATTGGCAGGACATTAGTTTGGCACCATCTTTGAAATTTGTCAGCATTATTTCATTGAAAGATTAAAAAGTTTATCTCACAACACATCTGGCTTCAGTGTTCACCATTTTCAAGAATGTGAACTGGGACTTACAATGCAAATATAGGAGTAGTTCTATAGAACAACAGAATTATCAAAATACACTTAAGAATGCAAAACACATGTTGAGATTTTGCTTTTATTCTACTGTTTTTTGTGAGTTTTTCTGTAATAAATCTATACAGAATCAATAGATTACATTGTCTTTGATTCTTCTTATCTGTACTGCAACACATAAAATAATAATTTTTAAGAAAGTATCTAATTCCTTTTATTGAACTATGCCTTTCCCAAGTGGCAACAAAACCCTTGAAAGTCAAAAAAAATCCCCACCCAGATAACCAGAAACCATATTGCAGTGCCAGCATCAACAACATAGCTATTCACTTCAAGAGTGGGAACTTGTGCACTAGGTATTTTTCTACTCAGAAATTATTTGTGTGAGAAAACAGAATCTAGGCTTTGATAAGAAAGACTTTCATCTGATAACTGGATTTTTTCATTTTTATGAGCTTCCACAGTGTCTCCAGGGACTCGTACGTTTCAGTTTCTGATTCTCCCACATTGACTAAACACCCTGGACAGATTACACTGTTGTCCCACAGTCAATCCTCTCTCTTAATGAGATAATCTAATACCTGTTGAAAATCTAAGTGATAGTAAATTGGAAAGATATAGTCCAAATGAAGAATCCAACTATAGAGGAAAAGAAGTGCACAAGATGTTCAAACTACAATTTCCAAAAATACTGATGGCCAAATTTACAAAGAGAAAAATTTAATTATATTTTTAAATGTCATTTCTTTAAGAAAAATTCTGTAAGGGGCACTTTACTAAGAAAAAAAAAAAAAAAAAAAAAGAAAAATGTTATCAAAATGGAATTTTCCGTCATTTGAAAATGAGTTTTGATAGAAAATTGCGGGCCTGAACCAAACTCCCCACTGAGTGTGTCTGTCACTGCTGCCCATGGGGTAAGCAGGGCAGGTCATTTAGGATAACGAATTCCATCTGAAAAATGCAGCCTAGTTAATTTTGCTAAGAAAAAAAGCAGGAATACCTGTGTTCAAATACCTCCTGGCAGACTGAAACTAAAAGTGTCCATAGCCTGTAGCTTGTACCATAATACAGTAATATTTATTTTTCTCCTTAATGGCAGAACTGATCTCAGGGGAAAGAAAATGAAAAAAATCAGAAAGAAAGCACTTGAAAGACAAAAATATAATTGTTTTGAACATTGCAAACAATAAACAACCATTACCAAATTTAAGAAGTTTTGACATTTCATTCAACACATGATCAAAATATCTGAAATATGGTCAGTTAATATTGCTCTCAGACTTTTAAAGAACAGATTAAGCTACTGTTATTTAAGCTACCAGCTCTACCAAATTATTTATAAAGCCAGTAACAAATATATGAGCAATGCAGAAATATAAGTAGAAGTTACACTTTTTAACTTTAATTGGAGGCCAGAGCAGGTGGTGTCAAATAGCACAGCTTCACTGCAGTGTCTGAGCAGAACTGTGACTTCTGTCAGTTCTGGATCTGGATGACTCTTCGCGCATTATTTGAATGCCTGTTTTTCTTGCAAATGAATGCCTTTAGAGGAGTTTTGCTGCAAATACAGTTGTACAGTGACAGGTAATTCCTTGCAACATTTCTGTTTACACCACCTTTCAACACTGCATGTTATACTATGTAACTAACTGCAATCAACAGAAGTAGAAAAACTAAAAATCCCACCATTAACCATTATATTCAGTCATAAGGGAAAACCTAACTGAGAGCTAATTGATTGAAAGTCTTAGAAAGTCAGTGAATGGCTGAATATAACAAATACCCTATCAATTGTATGGATTATAACTTGGATGTTCTTACCCCAAATAACAACACTGTCACTTGAGTTAGAGAATTGCTCCAACAATGAATTTGTTGTGGGGTAGAATTAATAACTATTGATTAAAGAGAGGGGGAAAACACAAGCAAAAATATCAATTGCAATTTTTATAAGAGACTTCATAGACTCTTCTCATTCCTGTCTGGCACTGGTACTGCCTTGGTCCACCTTCCTTCTCTTTCTACTTGCCCAAGATCCATTCCTTTTGCCAGCTGGACTGGGACATTAGCTTTTCCTATCACAAAGGACAGCAATATTTGGTCTAACAATACAGGCAATAGAAAATATAAAATATTCAGTCATATCAGCACAGATTAACCTGAAGCGTAACTATTCACTGTACAGCAGTACTTCTCATAATCTGATCAGTATTTAGTTTAAATCAATATTTGAATATGATTTAAAGACAATTAAACCCCCACAATTTTATAGCTTTTCCACCAATATTTGAGACTGCTAGTATTCAGAAAAATGACATGTGAATAGCACTGCTGAAACACAGTACAATGTAGGCAGATGGTATGCAAGTGTCACCAAAGATCTCTGGGAATGCAGCTCTATTCTCACCAGAAAGAGCCTTGCTAATATTCCTACCATCCTCCTCTGATTAGATTGCATACATTGAAAGGGAATAACTAGCTACCTGCATATAACACCCACAAATCAGCAACCAAACAGCATTTTGAGATAAAAATATGCAGAGCCATTTTTACCATGAAGGGAAATAATTAAATTTGAGCCTGAAGGGGGTCTAAGCACACTCAGCCAATAAATTTCATGCCAGAACAAATAGGTCTGAATACCAAATGAAAGTGTACACTCCTAACACCCGTTTTTAGTTAAAGTATGTATAAGCATGTGTACGGGGTGTAGGGAGGTGTCCAGTTAACTGCTTGCACATCAGGGAATTCATGGAAGATAAAATCCCATGGCGTGAAGCCAAAAACCTGGACTGCTGCTATGCTGCTGATACCTGCCACCACAATGGAATTTGAAACTGAAGTAGATGTTGTGTAACAAGCACAAATTCCTTTTTTTGTTTTAATTATATTAAGCGGCTTGGCATTTTATAAATGTATATAAGGAATTGATTTAAACCAGTTACTATTAATAGCTGGCAAAAGATTTTTCTGACTTTGTGCTGCCCTTTTAAGATTTGTCAGACTGTTCCCCAATCAGACCACAATGATGAACAATTCGTTGTTCAATTTGAAAACATATTCAAATTTAGTCACGTCAGGTTCCTTCACAATTATGTCTCAATTTGTTGGATCAGTTAGTTGCAAAATGTTACTACTTAGAAATCCAGAATCACAGACCAGAAAGTACTTTTGGACACAAAACATGTAAGATGCTTTTTTTTTTTTAACAAAAATCCATTCTGATAAGACAGTGGTGATGGAAGCACTGAGTCTGGCTTGCACAACACAGAAACTTCCTGTGTATGCTACAGAACTGCAGAGAAATATATATTTGTGCAGCAAAAGACAATTTTCCAGCTTCCTTATCCGCAAAATAAGGGATGATCATAAAATATGGATATGTCTTACAAATAGAGGGAATGCAGCAAAACATCAAAAAGCATTCAGTATTTATGCAGAAGTACTGTTTTCCTCAGGGTCTCTGTCTACAAGGTGAATGCTCCCTGTGATCATCGATTCCTCTTGAGCTGAGGTATTCTCCACTTGCTTATTTGTGCAATATGGAATGTGGCCACAGAAATACATGTAAATCCATGGGTTGGTGCAACTATTTAAATTGCCAAGGAGCATGATAATGGTGAATGCCGAACCTAGAATGAAATAGTTAAAGGAATAAGAGAGTAAATAAACACTTGTACAAATAAGTACCATTTTCACAGTCTGCTGCTTTCTGCTGTACCTATTCATATATTGAAGTTAATCTAATAGTAGAAAATTCACATTTTAACGCAGTTTGCAATTGCTGAAGATATGAAGCACACTATTGCATGCATTTCAGAGTTAAATAGTTCCATGTAGCTCTTTTTTGATGTAGCTGCATTAAATTTAAAAGCAATTACTAACCCTTTATACAAATACAGATAAATACAGATATAGATATATATATAAATGTATATAGAATAAGACTCCAAGTCACATGGACAGGAATAATTCTTAAAACAAAGATCAGAAGATTTTTCTATCAGACAGAGCTATTATCTTCTTTTTCTTTTGTTTTTTATCTCTGAGTTTAAAACAGGTGAATTTATAGTCTGCCTTTCACAAAGAGGCAATAGCATAAGTTTGACAAGATTAATCTTGTTTACCACCTGGTGTTCTTTGTTAACTCTCTCAGGCTTGCTGTTTAGCTTTATAAACATCTGATTTACAACTTCCAATGCTACAGTGTGTACTACAGAGATTTCATCAATATGATTTCAATATTAAAAAAAAATCAGATGTCTTATAACACCCCTCTTCTATCCAGTAAATAAGAAACATTTATCTCATTCCTTTGGATAGTCAATTACTCCTTTTCATCTCAAAAATAAATACTAAATACAACCCAAATACTGTTGCTATACTACCTAAAACCTCTAAAAGTCTGAACCTTTCTGGAGCACATGATACTTTTCACCCCACTCTTCATTAATCTTTAAATTGTTAATCACACAAAACACACACATGGTGTTTTCATCATATAACACATGAAGTTCCCTGAACCTAATTAAATAAATGAGATAACCAATCCAGAAATTTCTTTTTAATCCTACTCAAATGATCACATGTAACTTTTACACAAAAGCAAAGTGCAAACATAAAGCAATTGATGGCAATGTGCTAGCCTGCTATGCAGTTAGTAATGAGGATGGAGAGTATCTTACCTTCAGTCACGACACTGGGGAACCACACAGACCACAGCTGCGCAATGAAGAAAGGTGACCAACAGAGCACATATGCAACAACTGTCACCACTGTCATTTTTACTGTCTTGATCATAGCCTTTGAAATACAGTTCACATTGCTTGCTCGGGATGGCAGGACTTGCTTCTGATTTGTTGCTTCACATTCATTCTGTTTTTTCACATATATATTTCTTCTGATTATTTTACAAATCTTAACCTGGCATGTGATAAGGATGGCTGAGGGAATGAAGAATATAACTACAAAAATCCAAGTCACATATGCCCTTGGGCCCCATGGTTGAATAAATTCACCCCAACATTCAAAGATACCTGGAGATATTTCAGTCTTAGAAAAGATAAATACCTGTGGTAGGCTAAGAATCAGTGCTATAAACCAGCTGGTGAAAATGGGGATGTTCCAGAGAGCTCTCTTCTTTTGGAATGTGACCATAGGGTAGCAAACTGCTTGATATCTGTCCACTGTCATGACCACTATCATATAAGTAGAGGCAAACATGCCCAGCAATTGTAGGTACTTGATAATTCTGCACAAGAAATCTGGCCCTATGAAAACATCTGTAACATCCCATATGAGTTGAGGCAGCACTTGAAAAAAGGCTACTACTAAATCAGCAATGCTGAGGTGAAGCATGAACACATACATCCTAGAGAGCTTCTTTCTTCTTCGCCACAGAACCAGTATGAGAATAAAATTGCCCACAGATGCTGTCAGAAATATGACCCCCAGTACAGCAATCTCTACTTGAGCTAATTGTTCATCTCTTTCTGGTCTTCCAACAGGATCTGACTGATTTGTCAAACTCGGGAATCTGTGAGAAGGACTCTCGGTCTGATATGTGTTATCCTGCGTAGGAAATGAAAAATTCTTCATAGTGCACAGAAGCTACTTACAGTAGCTGCCACTTACAACTCAGGTTGACAGCTGTGAAGCACCTGCTGGCAAACAAACCAGGCTGGGGTTCGAGTTTCAGTATATCTTCAAGCAAAACTCCTCCTGCTTGTGCAAACTAAAGCAGTGGGACCTGAATCTTGATGAAATTCTGTCTTGCTGGCGTGCACAAAGGCTTTATATAGGCTCCCAGCAGACAGAGCCTTATGTAATTGCAGAGCCCTCGGGTAGGCTGCAGGGACCGCAGCCAATGGCAGACCGAGCCACACAATTGGGGGAAATATATAAATAAAAGGCAAACTTCAGAGGCTCAACATGATTCAATTACTCACTTCAGTCAAAACCCTAACTTGTAAACAGCTGTGGCCAAAGTCATCCTCAAATGACCTTACTCAGGAGACCTCTTGCAAGAATTTTTCTACGCAAACCGGAGGAGCATTCTTCAGCTGAACTGGGAGGAATGCTTATAAGCAGAAAAAAGTTGGGTCCCTGAGCTCAGGAGCATCTCTCCAGGCTCCTGGGGCACAACCACACCCTAAATCCAGCACAGACAAATAAATGCCTTTTTCCATAGCCCCTTTTTTTCCTTCTCTTTTTGGAGTCACCTGATTCTAAAATGAAAAGTATTTGAACTGCCCTAAAAATAGTCTTTTTATTTCAAGATGGGGTCAAGACTTAAAGGTTTTTTCTCAGAAAAATGAAAAATAACACATGAAATAAATTACTTTTATTGGGACTCTGAGTCTACTGAGAATTTAACAGTAAAATAAGTGAAAATTCAGTGGGAAATCCAACTGAGGAAAAGGTCTCTATGATGAAACAATTTCCAAGCATCTTTATTCTACTATAGTGCTAAAAGCTAGGAGGTAATTTCTCAGTACCTAAACCTTTTCATTTTTGTGGTGCAACTTATATCATGACCACAGGAAATTCATTGTTCTTCAACCTTCCAGTATGACTTGCATATTGTTAGTCACAGATAAGTATAGGAATTTTGAATTCATTTCAATTTTTTGTCCCTCAGCCTTGCCCTCTTAATCACAAAAGAGAGATTTAATAAAATGAATTCACTTATTATGAAAAGAGATATTTGTATGCAATCTTATTTGAAGCTAGGGCACTCATATCTTTCTGGTTACAGTCAGGACACTAGTAATTTGAAGTCTTTCTGACGAGGAAACCAGTAAGGTTGAAAGTAATATCCATGCTGCATAAAGAGTATAGTGCACCTAAACTGATAGATCACTGTGATCATGACTATATTATAAGACCAGCTCAGGAAGCTCACAGACAGACTACTATCTCTTTACCACCAAAGGTTTTCGTGTATCAACAGACAGGTGAAGGACAAAATTCATAAACAGGATGGTGAGGTAGACTAGAACAGTTTACAAAAACAACGTGATCTCTTTTCTCTTCCTCTTTCCCCCTTACATCACACCGTGGGATGGATGTTAACAGCTCATGCAAGGGTAAGACTATGAGAACAGATAACAGACAAGCTGAACAATCTCAGGAAACTTTTCCACCAACAGCGGCTATAAGTATGTGTAATCCATAGTTGGCTAAACACTGCTGCAGCTGCCTGAGTCTACAACGGCTTTTCTCTAAGACTATGTTGCAAAGAGTATGAATCACAACCACTCAATCTAATATACCTGATAATTTTTTTTCCTAAATTAAAGCCTATTTGTAGTAAACTTGGATTCCTGAGGTTGTTTCCGTTTAGTTTCCTCTCTCAGTTTGGAACCTATCTCGTTTAGTGGGAAACAGGTATAGCAAGATCATAAAGGAACAAATGGGTTTGTCTTAACCCTCATTCTCCCTTCAACCAGAAACTTGCAGAAGAGCAATTAAACTGGTCACAAGTCATGAACCCCTGGCAATTCCACTGACAGCAAACACTGTGCTGTAGAGTAGGTGGGCTGATCTCAGGTTCTGCCTTCTGATGGAGACCAAGTTTCAGGCATGTACTCCATAATCATTTACCTTGACCATCCAGACTCCATGAGACAACAAAAAGCCAGCTGGGATCTTTATTCTTCTAGCAGGATACAGACCGAATATGTACATCTATGCAGAGCTAGGTCTAAGTGGGTTGAAATAAGAATACGTGAACAGAAAATTAAGCCCAGGGTCAGGCCTGGAAAATAAACATAAATAATCAAGCAATTGTATGTAAGAAGACCAGAATATGCAACACAAGTCAATTCTGAGATACTATTGAAAGACTAACCAGAATGTTATACCAGAAGCATACATTCATACAATTTGTCACAATGCATAATGTATGGGTAGACATATATTTCAGGCAAAGGTGTTTTGTCACCTGGAATCATTCAACAAGATCCATGGGAACAGGCAACTCTTCCTAGGCCTACACACATACAGAGCACACAGTGTCTGGGCAGCAGCCCTGGCGTCAGATTCAGCATGTGGACACAGGTTAAAGGGTAAGCACACTGAGAAACAAGTAGCCCTTGCCATGTTTATAAAAAGGGTGGTGGACCTGATTGTACAAATTGTCCTAGTGGTGTAAGACTCTATCTTGTATATAATCAGTTCAGTATATATTAATGGCTTCATAATTTTGGAATTGTGTCCTTTCAATCTTTTTCATGCATGCTAGCAGATAGTCAGGATAGTGTTATATTGAAATTTGATCCACTCTGGGAATCTAACTCACTGAGAAAAGAAAATTAAGATAATAGATAAAAATGTTTAAGTAGTCTTAGCGATTCTTTCACTCCAGTAGTGTCCTTCTCCCATTGCTCAGCTTTGCTTCATTCCAAGCTGTATCTGTCCAAGTTAAATTTTATTCCTAAATTATTTGCTTTCAGTAGTGTGGGAAGGCACATTTTAATTAACTTCTGCTGAACTTCTCAGTGTGGGCTCTCATCTAATGTTTGTCAGATAGCTAGAAGGAAGAGATTCAGCTCACAATTAAGTCTCAAAATTAGGTATCTTCTCAGAACTTCAGAATCACACAGCTGCTCAAGACAGTGACAATAGTGAATTCAGACCACTTTACCAAGGGTTTGTCCAGTCAGGTCTTGAAAACCTCCAAGAGCTTAGAATCCCCAAACCTCCCTGGGTAATTTTTCGCAAATGCTTATTTTCACTGTGAAAGAACTTTCCTTATGTGCCACTAGACCCTCCCCCAATTCTGAACATGTCCTCTCATTCTTCTGTCATAACCTCAGTAAAAGCCTGGTTCAGACCTCTTTGCCAGCATCCTCATAGGTATAGGAGGGCAATGTTAGGGCCTCTGAAGCCATCTCTCCTCCAGGATGAACAACCTATATTGGGAGCATTGTGGAAAATACTGTATTCAAGGAGTTAGTGATCTTGAATAAGATATGTCTGCTCTACTGAGCCTTGTACTTAAAGCCTGTGCTGGTGCTGGGGAACGTTATGACTCGGATGGCATCCCAGACTGTCAGGAGAAAAAACATGTGATTGTTTGCCCCACAAAATAAAAGGCTCCACATGGAAGGAAGGAGGAATCCCTGCACAGACAGCATCTGTGCAATGCGTTGGGGAAGATCTACTAGATGTCTGTCCAATGCTGCACAACAGCAGAGCTTCCCAGCATTGGAAGGGACCTAAGATTTCCTCACTATATATATTTCTGGGTTTTACCCTATCTTACAAGAACACCTATTTTACCTCTATATTACTGTGCCACCCTGGTGAGGAGCACAAGCCCAGCTCACTCAGCCTCCCTCACTAGGTTACATCTTCATAGCCCTATGCTGAGTTCACTCAAGCTCATCAACACCTTTACTGTGCAGGGTCTCCACAACCAGAGGCAATATTCCATATGTGGTGAGTAGTGAGTGCTGAGTAGGGGGGAATAAACACCTCCCTTGATCTATGTATTTCATGTGAGTTGTGCGTGTCAACTCCCATCACAATCTTTGTCTTCCAAAAACTGTATGAATTGCAGTGCATTGCAAATCTTTTTGCCAAGCCAGGCAAGGAATATATGCTGAAGCAGAAATACATGCATTTTAGGGTTAAAAGCCCCCCACAAGCTTCTAAAACCCAGAAACTGTTTAAACTCATGACAGATATTACTTATTAAATACAACTTGTGAAGATAATAGGTTTGCACACTTTTACTTTGGAATGCATAAACAAGTTCTAAAAAGTTCCTATTTAAAAAACCCCCATCATTAATTCAATAGTTATATTGTACAAGGTTCTTTGGACCAGGCTTAACGGTGCACTCCTATATCGTTAGAAAGTTACTAGACCGGCTCTGTGAAACTAAAATAGCCTCAAATGCAACAACTAAAGGCAATGTGTCAACAAAAACCAGAGAAAAATACGTTGCAGAAACCATTACAGACAGCATAAATCCAATCATGCAATGTAGGCAGCTAACATTGTCACCACACAAGAAGACACAAAATGAAGAATAGTGTCAATAACTTCACTCCTCAGAAAGAGTTAAGCTTTGATTTGGACAAAATCACTTTGGGGCAGGAAGTAGAGCTTTTAATGAAGCCAAAAGACTATTAGAAAATGTCAGGACAACCCAAAATCTCATTCATTTCCAGTCAAGATGAACTACAAACCACCCTTAACTTGTCAAATTAACATTATAATGAACATGGGGCAACATTCTGTCCTGCTAGCCCTGTTTATATCCCCAAAGTGGAATCACACATATTTATGTGTTGTGTACATGTGTATGCCTTTCACTTTCCATGAAACTATGTTCATTTCTCAAATGAGTAAATTAACTATTTAAAGGAAGGGGGTGTTACTTTAGTAAGATTAAAATCTACATAAAAACAAATTCAGCTTTATAGCCTTAAAATGTAAGACTGCAACATATCAAATTATTATATTTACTGTTAGGCAATATTTTGGAACAAGACCTTCCTAAATTAAGTGCATCCTTCAGTAGGAATTAGCCAGAGGCATTAAAGCCAGAGAAAAAAACAACGGGTATGGGTCCCCTGTGACTCATAACTAGTCATGTCCCAGATACTCACCATAAAACAGGACCACTAACTACGTACATTGCTACGCACCTCTTTTAAATCCCTAAGGAGATTATGTCTGAAACAATATTTTTTAAACTTGTTTCAGTAAAAGATTTATTATTCACTATTGCTGGTCTCATTCTTTAGC